CTAGGTTTACACTGCTAAATTAGAGACGGCTAGCGCAGATAGCCCTCGTGTAGCTTTGCGCGAAATTCAAAAAACAAAAAAAACTCAAAGGTGGATCTCCTTTTGACAAGCAAAGTTATCTGGTGTACATCACGTTATAATTCGTTAAATCCAACGAAAATATATAAACAGATGTTTTTTCGTCTATTAATTCTTCCCTTTCTTTAGTTTCAGGAATCACTTTTACTATTTTTATTCTATATTATTTTATCTTTTGGGAATGTGGATATTTCATAATCTGTATGTAATAGAATGTTGATATACTTCTAATGATGCATTCTAGAATTAAGTTTTATCAGAAATCACACAAACAGTTTTGTTTGTTTTTTTGTTTAGGATACCGAACCATTCTTTTTGGAGTCCAACATTCGCTGGGCTGATACATTTATTTTAATGTATTCTGTAACCGATAAATGCAGTTTTGATGAATGTAATCGTCTAAAATTTCTTATCAACCTTTATAACAAGCGTTGCCGGATTCTGGGAACTCAGTTATTTCCGGGTCATTTCACCGACGTTCCTGTTTTGTTGGTTGGAAACAAGGCTGACCAATATGGCGACAGAATGATATCAAGAGCGGAAGGAGAACGCCGAAGTCATGAAATCGGCTGTGTGGGCTTTCACGAAATATCAGTCCGAGAATCAATAGATGATGTTGAAAGGGTATTTAGGGATCTTTATCAGAACTGGAAAACTTGGAATAAGACAAGCAAAATGAGACGTTGTTCTAGTGATGTTGGAACAGGACAGTCACTTAAAAGGCTTCCGATCGCTAGTAAGACTCCACTGATGAGCTTTCAGGAAGAAAAACCTTTTGTGAAACCAGTCAAGAACCTTCCTGAGCAATCAATTCGACCCTTGAACGATTCGGTGCCGGCCAAGTTCCGAGAACGAGCTTGTACAGATGGAACAATACAAACATCCGCTAGATGGCGATTTAGGACAACTAGATTTCACAGCGCCGCCAGCTCTCCTCTTCAGACTCGCAGAATGAGTATAAGCATGCGTGGAAGTGAATCAAACTAACGTAAAGTCAACGTTTTTATTTATCCTTTACGCAGACTTAAGTGTATGCTAAGCTATAATGTTATTATTTTGCCATGAGGTTAACAGCAAGTAAAAAAAACATTCTTTTGCGAATTGCTTGTCTACTATTAATTGGATATTATTATATAAATATTTGTATATTCATGCACACATATTTATAAATTGCAGTATATTTGTACGGTGAGGGCTATATATTCTTTGTTTCATTAGTTCTAAATAAGATAAATAACCAGTAGATGTCGTTTAATAAGTGATAAAGCTTTTTCTTAACTTCGAGTGAAATGCATAGACGCTCATATGTGGCATTTTAATTTTTTATTCGAAAAAATGTATGTATACAGAGATCACAATAAAGAGATATAACTAACTATAGCCTTAATTTAAGATATTCAAAAATAAAATACAAGTTATGACTCTTTAATGTAAGAGAAAAGAAATAATGCGCTTCAAAAGTAAATTTGAATAAACACTCTAATGTCCCAACAGTGTCTAGAAAATACAATATTCAAACTTGTAAATGTGATAAACGCTATATAAATGTAACGTAGCAGCTACTTTCACGGAAAATAAGTCACATTAGCTGTTGCTGATGCTAAATCACATAAGATAAGAAAAAGATAAATTATAAAACATGAAAACTGATAACTCTATGCTCTTCGTGAATTGGTTAACATCAGTTATTGACAGGTAATAAATATCATTTTTAATGAAGTTTCATAATGAACGAACGTAATGATGAAGCGTCCACAGAGAATAATTTGAAGAGAAGAAAAGTGTTTTGCAACATGAAAACACATTAAAATGCACATGTAAGTTCTTAAGGAAATATTTCCATTGCGATTGAGCTGTAAGCTAATAAAAGTCATGATAATTATTAAATAAAACCAACTTCACCAACCACTTAACATGAAACATTAACTCAAAACCTAGTAAAACAAGAATGCTAATTATATTTACACGTTAAAGCTGATTGATAATAAATACAAAAAAAGAATAGAATTTTGAAGAGATCACAGAGAAGAACACAACACTCCTATTGATATTGATGAATATCGCACAGAAAGTTTTTACTGCAGTTTTGAAGAGATCACAGAGAAAAACACAACACTCCTGTTGATATTAGTGGATATCATACAGAAAGTTTTTACTACAATTTTGAAGAGATCACAGAGAAGAACACAACACTCCTGTTGATATTGATGAATATCGCACAAAAAGTTTTTACTACAATTTTGAAGAGATCACAGAGAAAAACAACATTCTTGTTGATTTTAGTGGATATGATACAGAAGGTTTTTACTACAATTTTGAAGAGATCACAGAGAAAAACACAACACTCTTGTTGATTTTAGTGGATATGATACATAGGGTTTTTACTACAATTTTGAAGAGATCACAGAGAAAAACACAACACTCCTGTTGATTTTAGTGGATATGATACAGAAGGTTTTTACTACAATTTTGAAGAGATCACAGAGAAAAACACAACACTCCTGTTGATATTGGTGGATATGATACAGAAAGTTTTTACTACAATTCTTCGTAAAATAAATATTTTCTGATCATTATCTATCTTTTTGTTCTTATGATAATTAGGAAAGACATAATACACAGCTGAACTTGCAGATTTTGAAACAGTAAAATACGGCTGACAATTTAGGAACTATATTGCTCATTTTTTTATCTAGTCTTTTTCTTGAAATTTATCAAAAACAAGGTACTTTAACAGGTATTATCTTACAAAAATATCTTCATCTTTGATATAAAACAACTCCTTATTAATTGGTTTCCAGCCAAAAGTTACTAAACGCTTAAAAAGTAAGATAAACGTTTTTATATTCTAAGAGTTATTTTCGATATCAAATAATCATCAAGATGACAGTATGCGCTTGTAAGTAAAATGTAAAAAAAATTGAAGAAAGCTAATTCATAAGCTACTTTCATCAAAACTTAAGTGAAGGGGAAAAAAGGTACTTATATTTTTAAATCACACTTTTAGACAAATCATTTCAGATCTTAGCAGCATATTCCAAAATAAGTGTTTATATCGCCATAAATGCTTAAAATAGGATGAAATAGTAACATTGTCATACAATCTAAATTCTGGCTAGTTTACACGTAGAGTGTCAATGACTTCAATCTGCCTGATGAATAGAAAGATTAACGCTACGTTTTCAGGTTACCAGTAAGAAGTGCACTTTCTGTTACACCCCATTTCTATTTCTTAATAATGTTGTTTTGTGTGTGTTTTTTCACGGTATGTCATTAGCTAGTTTGTTTTCAAAGGACCTAATGTCATTCTTATCTAAGTACGAATGCATTCCCATTTTCATTTGGGGGTAAAATAGATTTTCTTATATGACTTTATCTTTTTTTTTGTGTTATTTACTGACTTGAATTCTGATGATCGAAATATTGCTCTTAAAAGATGTTTCGGTGTTAAATCAAACAATGACACCAATGATATACAGTCAACCTTTATTATATTTTCCCTCTCGTACGATTTGCTTCTAGCAAGTTCAATACTGTTCTTCTCGTCCATGCCTATAATTCAGTTAAGAATGATTATATGAATCTATAACGTATCACGCTATATTTGCTTAAATGTCTTAGCTGTGTCATATGAATGAAAATGCACAAAAAAACTTTAATATCAACTAAAAATGGCGCTTTAATGATAAAGAAATAAAATGTCGTCAATTTTCAAACTGGTATAATAAGAATCTTTCTGAAAAATGGGTTAGAATACAAATTAATATTATATTTTCGTGGGCGATTCTTGCTATGTAAAAAATTTCAAAATTACGATTTAACCACAAAAAGTTGACGAATAAGGTCACTTTGATGTAACGGCTGCGAATATCGTTATAGTGTAAAGATAGAAAACATTTACGTTTTTAATTACTTCGGATTTATGATATTAAAATGCATTTATGAATACCTATATAGTTTCAGGAAATATCCCTATGATTTTGCTTTAGAGAATGAGAAATAAAGTGATATAAGAATATAAGATTTAAACACGCAGGAACCGGCTTAGGATAAAACTTTAAAATCCTTAGGAATACAATAATTAACGGAATTCTTTAAATTATTAATGTTTTGCTTTCTCAGGATCAGGTATTGAACGCAATAATAAGTTTCAACTGCTCATATGTTACATTTAGCTCATACTTTCATAAGTAGCAAACATATTTCCTAATAATAATGCATCAAAACAGCAATTCTCATTTTATTAGAGCAATAAAGAAAGCATGTTTTGAAGACAGTTCTCTATATCTTCAAGTATAAACATAACCTGAATGTCATGTAGGACTAAAGGAATATTTGAAAGTTGTTTCATTGCAAACACTTCACATTTTAGAAGAATAAAATACATTACTGAAACTTGCAGTTCCTATGTGAAAATTTATTGCCTTAGAGTCCACAAAATAAACTGACACCAGATGTCTCCTAAGTTATGACATCGTCTTAACACCTAGGAAAATGTCGCGAGGTGTTAAGTATTTGACCTTTTTGTGCTCGGTTTCAACACTGTTACGAGTTCTTTGATTTACTATTATAGTGAACAAGATGGTTGCTTATTTTTTCTCGTATCCTTGTTGGTATTCTTCCCAAACATGGCACTAAGCATCTTTGAGACAGGTATGATGCTTCGTTTTCTTTGTCTAGGAAGACACTGTTGAAGTTGAGAAGTTCTTACTTGGCGAATAAGGTTGCTAAAAGCATTGTTAACTTCGGCGTAGTTATCCGCTGCAGATACTTCATCAAAATCACAACCATACTGAATGGAAATCTCGTTTCCATCTTCAAACGACACCTGTCGGCCAAGCTCCAAATCTCTTTTATTACCTAGCAACACAACAGGAATGTAACTGGGTGCTTTGAGACGATGAATTAAATTTAGATAGTCATGGGCTCTGATGAAACTTTCTCGGTCACAGATACTATAAATAACTACACAGGCATCTGCCCATTGGATTCCATCGGTTGGAAGGCAGTCATCCTGGATTAAAAAAGAAATTAGTATTATCTAATTTTTTCTTCTAATTTATGAATACCATTGAACATAATGAAAACGTAAAATGATTTCTAAGTGCAAAATAATTTTCCTTTTTCGGATTCGTAACTGTTCATTCGGCATTTCAAATACCTGGAATAGCAAATTATACACACATTCCAAATTAACATTTACATTAGTTATCAGTTACTCATATTTTGATACTATGCATTATGTAAGGTAAGGTTGTTGTTCCTGTTTTCAGTGTAAAGCTACACTATGGGCTGTTTACACTTTGTCTACAGCGGGAATCGACTCGGATTTTTATCGTTGTATATAAGTAAAGTTATCGTTAATCGCCCAGGAGACATAAGTAAGGTACAGAGTCCTTCTGTGGATTTAAGAAATTAACTAGGAATTGATAATATTTTTAAATGCAATTTTTAAAAGCAATTTGGGCTTATTCTAGCATTTCCATTGGGTGTACAAACTCTGTTCATTAATTTGAGTCAAGAACAAAATGATGGCAATGATATTTTAATAGTAATGTCATTTTGATATATTGCTATTTAGTAAGCTATAGGCATGTATTGCTGAGTTCCAATATTTTAATTCCACTGAACTATATAGTTTTTTTACTTATTTATTGTTAAGCACAAAGCTATACAATGGGCTACCTGTGTAAAGTGCACACCACGGGTATCAAAACCCAATTTTAGCGATATAAACTCTCACACTTACCGCCGAGCCACTGGGAGCTAAGCTATATAAAAAATATAATAATAAAATAATGATTCACTGCTGAAGTCAAGAGCCCCCCAGTGGCACAGCGGTATGCCTGCGGACTTACAACGCTAGAATCCGGGTTTCGATACCCTTGGTGGGCAGAGCACAGATAGTCCGTTGTGTAGCTTTGTGCTCAATTACAAACAACCTGAAGCCAAGAATCTAAGATAAACATAAAAAATTAGGGTTCATTCCTTAATGCAAGTATACAAGCTGAATATTTATTACTTGATGCAAGTATACTAATAAAATTATTTTATACTTAAAACAGGATGCCTAGCTAATGGTTCATCTCGAATTGAGAATATCGAACCTAAAGTTTTATAATGAATACAAAGTTCAATTTGAGAATTTGCTGGTTGGGAAGTGATTTTTAGAAATAAAGTAAACTATGAAATTAAAAATTAGAAATATAACAGAACAAACTGTGGAAGGTTTAAAGTAATTAAATATATCGTTATTTTGCATAACATCAAACTATAAGGTCTACGAAGGGATCATAAAATTAAACAACTGTTTAATAAAACTGTTAAGAAGCGTTATGGTATGTAGATATATTCAAATGTTTAACCGCATGGTCAAAAGATTTCAAATTCTAAAAACAAAATTGTTTTCAACAGTTCCATTATCGGAATATGCACGTAACAAGCATAAACGTAATTTATATATTCAAGTCTTGAAATGTGTTCTTTACTTCTCTATATTTCGAGTTCTCTCACTACGGATCGATACACATAAACCATTTCTACAATATTAGTTAGTATTTAATAATTAATATATTTATCCTCTATAAAAATAGTTGCTTATATTTCTTAATATAATCACATTTATAAAACATGTTTCCATTACCTTGAATCTCCCCATTACAACTCAAATCTTAATTAATTATTATTTGTACTTAACATCTTAACTACACACCCAATGCATTAAATTACTTTGTTTACGGTTTTCTATATTTCCAATAATCTTCGGATAAACTTAAATGCTTATAATCATAGTCAAACGTAAATTATTGTATCTATAAGATACTTAAGAAAAACAACAACAACAACAACACATCTGCTCCAACAGAGTTTGAATTGGGGGAAAAAAATAGCAACTGTTCCTAAATAGCTGTATAAGGTGAATGAAATGAATAAACACCAGACATAAAAAGTACATATTTCTGAATATATACATTTGTTGAGTGCTAGGAAAAGTATTATAAAAAAAGAAATACATACCGGCCAGCGAGAAATATCCAGAATCTCGACTTCGCGAAGACTATCATCACACATAACCCTGTGCTTGTACAACCAATCTATGTAATATAATGTGATAAAGACTTGCATAAGTAAGCTTTGTTTTATTACTTGTATAATATTTTGGAAAATTATGTTAGTATACGCCAGACTTTGAATGTCTTAGGGATGGTATTAAGTATATATCCTTTAACTTTTATTCTTATAATTTTCTCGTTAAATGTTCCTATTAACGTGTAACGTTCATAACAAAATTGATGCAATTTTTTCTATTAATTTCCGAAAAAAAGAAAATATCAAAAATTGTTTCAGTGAGTTTTGTAAAAATCATTCCAAAATATGAGTGGACTCGAAAACAATTCCTTACAATGTTTTCAGTATATTATTAAACTGATAATTACCAACTATTTACTATGTCCTGCAGCATTACATTCTAGTTAAACTAAAATCACATTGAAATAATAAAAACAATTCTTTGGCAATAGCAAAAATTTAAAACTGGCGTTTTTTGGGCGATCACGATTAGGTGAATATTCGATATATATTTAGTCAGATGACAAAGCAACAGTAAGAACTAATAAAATGAATAATTAAACAAAACCCAATATTCACTCGCAGAGAAATAAGTTTAAACTACGTTCAAACTAACTTTTTATAATTAGTTAAATCCTTTGTGGATTTTACATGTTAATGACAAAAGAACTTTACTTGACTATGGGATAATACTGCTAGGAAAACAACTGAATTGCGCAAATCACACAACAAAGACTTTGGGTGAAAATCCACAGCAGCAATCTGACACCATCAAAACACAAGGCAGACCAGATATTAATTACTCTGCATTAAAATAATTATTGCTTAGAAAATGTTAGTAATTACTATATTTGAATAACTGTCAGAGACAATAAAAAAGTTTATCGAATCGGTGTTCTAATGCTCCCGAACTCCACATTCTACAACAAAATAACAATACAGAAATAAATGAAACTGAACAAAAACGTTTACAACAACCGTCCCCTTTAAGTCAAACTGAGAAGACAAATTTTGCGTTGAGTTGAACGATGACGGGAAGTAACAAGCAATTAATCCAGAATGTCACTGTAGTGCCAAGTATATCTACGCAACTGGAGCCAAGATATATCTTATAGATGTTTTCTGAGGAATCTTGGCTCGATTGTTGATTCTTTTATATCAAATCTACAAGTGCGCTGAACTTTGGTGCTCACGTGACATAACAGAACGATTGTTAATAAACATATTATCACAGAGACTTTGAAAAAAATCAATCCGTTTACAAGGTACGATACCTATTATCTTACATTTGCAATACACAACTTTTTTTTCTATTCTAAATTAAGATGGTTAATATAACAACTAATTTAACCATTAGTATTTCAGGAAATAGGCTTTAATATTATATTGAGTCTCGTTTATACCTTAGTAAGAGTTCTAAACACATTTATATGGTTTATTTATTTCTTTAAAAACATATTTTATTATTTCTTCAGAGGACATTAATTGTTAATTGCTAGTTAACTTTTTTCGTACGAGGGCAGCCGCTAATTGGTTAAGAAATTAAACATATTACACCTGAGTACACCTTTTGTACACCTGAGTACGAGATATTTTTATTTAAATTAAAAGTTTAAGAAAAAATACATATGAATTAGATGATAATAAAACAGATAAACAGTACTAAATGTTACTTAAGATCACGTATATTAGAAAACGTTACATATTTTTGAAACAGAATAAGAAACAAAGATAAACTTGTTCTCTTGGTGCTTATAACTTACATTTTCAGCATAAATTGTAAAGTTGAAAACGTGTTTCTGCAGTTAAATTCTATTTTAGCACATCTTTTATTCCTAATTAACGATGTTTTTTTCTTCAGTTTGTGCGTTTTGTTCACTTCAGTGCATGTATAGTAAGTATACAGACATTTATATTTACAGAGACAAAGTATACGTACCTGCATTAGAACGATATTCACCAATGTACCGCTGTGTCAGGAAGCGAACAATCAGAGCTTAAGGGAAAAAAAAACAACAATTAGGGTTCGCTTTGATTTGTTAAATCGATTTTTAAAATACTCCGAATGATTTATAAAAAGTACATTATCTCTTTACTAGGTTTGTATCAATATACCAGAGTTTATAAAATATCCTACACTTTACACTTGTTGTAGTAAAACATAAGAAATAGACTCTCTGGTTTGGCCGGAGTACCTTTGTGTTCACAGATACACTTATATGTTCAACCTAAAAGTCACGACGTTGTTGAGAACGATTGATTACATGATGTTTAGCAAAAACACGTTATTGGTTAACAATACGAACTTTGTCCTACTTTAAGCCATGCATACCTGAGATATCTAAACCTTTCTGTATATTTTGATCAATGAAAAGCTTACATAGAAGTAGTTTTCAGTAATGTGAAAACATTGAGAAAACTTAGATCACTTTTTTTTCTCAATTTTGTACATTTACACCCACATATATAAGTATAAAAACCTAACTAAACACGCACATAAACACGTGAAAAAGTCCCCTCTTAGCTTGTTTACATAAGCTAATGTTAATCATCATTGTTCGCCAGTTGTTGAATTACTGTAATAGACGTTACAACACGGAGGTTAAACAACACGCGAATCCTGAGAATTTTGTTAAAAAACTATGACTTGAATATATAGATTGCAAACGTAGAAAAAGAAATGCATGGACTGTTAAGGTACTAGATGATAATGTCACATATAACTTACAAAAGAAATTTGAGTAAAACTTTCGATGGGCAGCTCATAAGTTCCATATTGATCAGACATAGATGAAAAACCTTAAAATTAACACACCTTCTTTTTTTTTTCAAGAAACTAGAAAGGTCGATTCGTGCAGCCACATCTGACTGTATTTATCCTAAATATATATATATATATATCGGGTTGTTACGGAAAAATAGCATTACATATTTTTACACACACACATATATGTAGTGCAATGTATTCTTCGCACAACAGTATAGAAAAAAGAAGAACACGTTAACACCACATATTTAATTAACTATATGTAAGAAGGTCGAGATTACATACCGTGATCGGTTTTGTAATTCTGTTAAACAGTTTTCTTATATTCATCGTTAATGACAAATGTCCAAGTAGGAACTTCTTTGACGTTTGTAGATAGCAAAATCTATCGATCAGTTTTGTTATTTACATATAACTGAATTAAATATATCTTTTTTAGGTTTAATTAAAGACATTCTACTCTGCTAAAAAAGTTACAGTTCAATAATAATATTAATAATAAATTTATTTTCCAGAGTCTTTGAACACCTTCAGCACAAATATTCTGACAATTTGTGTGACGTAGCTAAAAACGATGCTTCAGTAACTGAATGTCTGACAAAAACAATGATTCCTAAAGGAATTTAGGAGTAACAGTATTGGAGAAGGTACAATTCCAAATTATTGGCGGTATAAATAAACCTTTGGGTCTCTGACTAAGTCATTTAGATTATGTGAAATATAAGGTGCCTGTAAGGTTCGCGACCGGCTGCCGCAAAAAAACAACAAGAAAAAACACACTCCGCACTTTACGGACTTGGATACGCTATAAAAGTGACGAACATATCCTATTATTCGATCACACGATAGTAGTACCCCAAGAGTTTGCGGTGGATACTGACCAGCTAGATGGCTTCCCTTTAGTCTGTTATTTCAAAATTATAAAAAACAAACGAATTATGAAACAAACAATATGAGAATTTCTTTCAAGGGCATACAGGTAAACTTCAATTACACTAACTTTTTTACTTCAAGCCTTGATAGTTCAAAAAATAATCCTTAAGTCGATTTTTTTGTGCTAACCTGTTACTGAATATTTCAAGGAGAGTATTTGTAAATAAGTATTTTTCAGTTTCAGTAGTACATATATTACTGAACTGGAAGTTAACCTCCAGCTAACAGCTAGGTACCCATCATGCATCTGGTTAGACTGGAGTATGTCAGGTAAAATGTCAGCCAGCCAGCCTCAATTTTTTAGAGTTGATAATTAGCTTCACTGATTTTTATAAAAAATGTTTTATTGATTTTGTAGATAATACTGGCATAATATCATGGAATTCTCATGCTTATTACACTTTCACTAACGACTTTTGTTCACTTGTGTTTGTTTATTCTGATGTTCGTGCAAAGCTGCACAAGGACTAGATTAGAAGGAACTAGTTAATCAACAGCATTCACCGCCAACGCTTGAACTACTCTAATCAAATAGTGGGATTTGGCCCTCACTTGTATAAGGTACTCACGGCCCTAAAGTACGTGGTATGTTTAAGCGTCAACAGGACGCGAACCCTAAACTCTCGGATTCACAGTACGACATGCTAATTACAGGTTGTGCTGTATCCAATCGCTTAAAAATATAATCAACATAAGACTTTAGAATAATTATAGTAGATTTAACGAAAGTATGTTTGGAGGAGTGTTAAAATATATTTAGGACAATTTTTTTTATTATTTTATAACTGAAGACGATACAAAATTTTATTTATTTTATAACCGAAGAGGATACAGAATTTTATTTATTTTATATAAACATTATTTTAAAAATAACCTTTTTAAGTTTTCCAGAGGTTACCACGATGAATAACATACACATGTGGTGTTGTTGAACGTGCTGAGAGGTGTTTTTATCTGTAGACAAGTAGACTTATGTAATAGATGTCGTGTGCATCTGTCTAACTCTCGGAGACGACGATATGACTTATAACTTGCCTACATAATATGTTTACATTTCTAAATCCAGAGTTGAAAGTCACGACAGCCATTTTTTACATTGAAAATATATTTTCTAGACTTACCGTAAGCTAAACATGGTTATTTTTTATATTGAAAGCTGCAAAAAATTTATTTGTCTGGTATACAGATGCTCTGAGACATATCGATTCGATATTTTCCTCTTCAAGCCAGAATCACTTCTTTTAGTAGACTTGGTCTTTTACCGACTACTATTATTATTTATAAAAATGCATAATATGTTAATTATAATGTTTTCATGTATGCTTTTCAAGGAAATTTGATGAGTTATTAGTCCTAGGTACTGGTTTGCTAATTTGGCACCGTTAGAGATTTTTTAGCAAACAAGTGGTAATTTATTGAAAAGCACTACAAGAAACATTAAAACACAAAATAAGAAATGAATCACCACTCTGACATCAGCAGGCCTTTCTTTTATTATTATATAGTGTGTTCTCGAGAACAATATATCTTCAACGAAGAATGTATGTGAATTAAGCAGCAAAGAATTACAAATGTTTGCTTAGTTGTAAAATTGTTATGCCTGAAGCCTTCTCGTGAACCAATGAAGAAAATGTTGACATTTGTTATGTTACTTTGCAATATTACACCCGCACTATAACTTGAAAGAAAATCCACTGTAATATTTGGGGAGGGAGGGGTGGTCCCTTGTTACATTAAGATAAGCAGTTGAGATAAATTCTTGTTTGAAATAGATGAGCAATTGGATAATCAGTTTTTGTCTTTTCACCGAAAAAAACAAAATAACAACAACACAAAATAACAACATTGTATTGTAATACATTGGTTTGAAAAGAAATTTCTGAGCAACTATTAAATCAAACAGGTTTATTTTTAGTCAAACTAAATCTTATAAAATTTGATTTAAGAAAACAACTTTTAACAAAGTATGATGTGAAGACCCATCTCGATTAAACTTATTAAGAAGACCCGCCTTACGAGCACTGAGGAAATACGAACCATTTCACCAGCTATCACTAGAAGGTGAATCATTCAAACAAACGTACATACTCTGACAGTGGATATCTCAGCGTGGATCATCTATGTGAATGTTGTATGGAAGTTAATTAATAAACACGTCTAATTAATCCAGCTATGCTGGAAACATTTATTTCTAAAAAGTATGACAAAGAAATTGTGTTTAATATAGAACCGACTAATTCATTCAGAACATAATGGATTAAAAATGACAATCAAATGAACTTTCCCAAGAAGCTAAAAGAAGGAATCAATTACATTAAAACTATAAGTTAACAGCCAAAAATATCTAGGATACACAACTGATGAAACAAATCATTCTAATCTCTATAAGATGACCCATTAGTGGGTTGATTTTTAATTTTGATCTAAGTAGATAGCTTGCTCTGATCGGAAGTTGATGTTAATTAACGAGAATGCACACAAGAAGATACTCAATTTTCGTAATTAAACGGGTAAAAAAACTACTTAGACAATTATCGCGAGAGATCAAGCTAGAAATAAGCTTCTTGATAAGATATATTAATGCAGTTTTAATATAAACAGTATTATCCACTCACAGTTAGCTAATTTAATGATAAACGACTACCTCAAGAGACTAGATTAATAAGAACGTACTGGGCAATGTTAAGAAACTAGTTTAGTAACAGCCAACACTTATTGGGCATGCTTTTAAATACCATGTCAAGCTAAGTCGTATCGTCAAGAAAAACTACTCATATGAAACTGACTGAAAACAGGATGATATTTTGATGACAATTTCCAAATAAATCCTCTGACACATGTAGCGGATATTCTTAAGTGATAATTTATTAAAATTCTCCTAGGAATTTTAGGGGTTATGAAACCTGTATATGATAAACAACAAGTGTGAGCTATCCATTAAGAAGGACAAAACATTCATTCTAATTGTGGAGGCTAAAGTGCGATAATCAATGTGGTACCACTAATTAAACAAACATAACAATGATAAAAAATGACAATGACAACATTTTCTGGGATTACATGGCTGAAAATATCAGTAGATTGACAAGTTATATTAAATATAAAAAACGGGTTTTAATACCAGTGGTGAGCACAGCACAAATAGCATATTGTGTAGCTTTTTGTTTAATAAAAAGAACCAAACAAGCAAAACTTTGACATAAGAATGACGAGGTGACATCTTGGTGAAACAGGCAAGAGATGGCAATACTCACAATTTCTATCCATTTTATAGTAAACAAACAGAATGAATCAAA